CCACCTTAGGAAGTGGGTCCACTTTCCTCAGAAACCCACAGTGCAGGAGAGTTAACAGACCACTTACTCTATGCAAGGAAGTGACAAGCAGCCCAGTCCCGGTAGAGGGTATTTTAAGCCTCTCAATATATTGAAACCATTTTTAAAACTCCAAATAAAAAATTGTTCTTTTGAATTCACTTAGAGCATAGTTTAGGAATGTATAAACGATGAACAAAAACATCCTTGTGGTGTGCTAGAGTGGTTTTTCTCTTCAGATTTCAGGTGATCCCAATGGTATACACATATACACAGATGCACACACCGACACAGAAGACTTGCAAGTTACACATAGTGAAAGATAACAAAGATCATAAAAAATATGATTTTTGTCCTTCATCTCAATGAATTTATTTTTGACCTGTTTGAGAAGTTCAGAATCTCATGAAAAGTCAAGTAAAAGATTTAAATAACAATTCAAGAGAACCATAGACATGTTAAAGGACGTTGCATCATTAGTTGCTAAATGAATTATATGGATTATAATGGTTAAAGAGAGAGTAAATGGAGAAAGTTTTCCTGGTAGAGTTCTTATGGTTTTTTTTTTTTTTTCCCTCTCATTTAGTAATTGTTTGTCTCTCGTATGTGTGTTGTAATTCCAAGGTGAAATCAAATCTGTATCCTTCCCTCAAAGCGCTTATACTCTAAGAGTAGAGTGAAATTTTGCATATAGTTAACCAGAAAACAATTTGAAACTTGGTAAGTGCTAACTATCAAATAGGTACCAACAAATCTAAGTTGATTTCTAACTGGAAGAATCAGAGAAGGCTTCATGGAAGCATGGCATTTACTATGGATTTGGAGGTAGAATTTGGGATGGAATGGTTCTGGCAAAGTATCCTTTGGGAGCAAAGTGAGTTAAAGAATTTAGGATGTTTATTCTGGGGACTAAAACCCTGGAAACCAGCTTTGGTGGTGTCGTTGAATTAACCAGGCTTAATTCCTATCACATGCTATTGCAGTTTAATAAATTCCTGCAGTTAATGAAAGCTTTTTTCTTTCCTCCCCTGCCCCCTGCAGTGTGCTGCTCTGGTTGGTGAAGACCAACCTCTTTGCCCAGATCTTCCTGAACTTGACCTTTCTGAACTAGACGTGAACGACTTGGATACAGACAGCTTTCTGGGTGGACTCAAGTGGTGCAGTGACCAGTCAGAAATAATATCCAATCAGTACAACAATGAGCCTTCAAACATATTTGAGGTAAGAACAGCCCTTGGTGAAAATTAATTTCTCATTGAACTTGGCTTATGCCACACTAAAATATTATTGGCCTGGGCTTCCCTGGTGGCGCAGTGGTTGAGAGTCCGCCTGCCAATGCAGGGAACACGGGTTCGTGCCCCGGTCCGGGAAGATCCCACATGCCGCGGAGCGGCTGGGCCCGTGGGCCATGGCCGCTGAGCCTGCGCGTCCGGAGCCTGTGCTCCGCAATGGGAGAGGCCACAACAGTGAGAGGTCCGCGTACCAAAACAAAAAACAAAAGACAAAAAAATGTTTAAAAAAAAAAAAAATCATTGGCCTGAAAGCATACTGAGTTCTTACTTTGCTGTCACCAAAAGACTTTTTATCATACTTAGGCACTTCCTATTTTGTGGAAAAACGATTTTGGAAAACAAATTTTTTTTTTTTTTGAGAATTAAGGCCCTAAGGACCCACAACAGAGTGCATCAAACTCTGTTGAAATACTAAGGGATTGTGAAAGAATAAATGACAAAGAAGAACAAACGTCTACACCTGTTTATTCCTATTTCCCACAGAAAATGGTGCCTACTGTAAACTAACGTAGAATGTAAAAGAATACATTTCTTTTTAACCAAGGCATGAGGTCTACCTTTAATTATTTTACAGAGTAGGTGAGCAGTTTTTTTTTTTAACTGTCATTGTCATATTTATAATCGTACCTCTGATTTCTTTATATTATGGGAACTTCTAAGCCCAACTACTCTGATATTTACTTATAAATTAGTCAAAATTAATTTACTTTTCAGTAGTGAGAATTACCTCCCAGACTCTAGACTCTTTATTATAAGCCTACCCTGTAATAAAGAATGTTAATCTGCACCTATTAAACAGTTACTTTGAGAAAAGAAGTTCTTTCTTACAAGATCAGTACTCATTTACTTGAAAATAAATGGTTTCTTAGAGGGACAAACTCTGGCAAGTGAATTGAGTAAAGATTATCAAATCAACTACTTTTCAATATCACCACCACCAGCACCACCATTATCATGTAACATTTTCTATCTACCATGTGCCAGGCTCCAAACAAAGCACTTTAAATGTATTTTTTTATCCACCAGCAGGGACATTTCTTATACTTCAGCGTTGTTTGGTTGAAATCTCAAGTCATTAAGAAAGCCAATTTTACAATATTTATTGAGTTTTTCCAGCACCCAGCACATAAAAGGCACTGAATAAATGTTTATTGGGTCATTAAGAAAACCCATTTTACAATATTTTCTGAGTTTTTCCAGCACACAGAAGGTGTGCTATCACTATTTTGTGAATAGTGAGTGAATGATGAATATGGTGTGTTCATAAGAGTGATAGTAATAACAAAATGGCCAACATTTTGGCACACTTCTGCTTTATGTATGTCATCGCACTCATCCCTCAAAAACAACCTATTGTTTCGGTGCTATTATTATCATTCCCATTTTACATATGCAGACAGTGAGTTTCAGAGAGGTTAAGTGATTTTCCCAAAATCACACAGTTGACAAAGACGTGGGATTTGAACCCCAGATGTATCTGACTTCAAAGTCTATTATCCTTGATTAAAAATAGAATAACAGTGAATTTGGGTGACAGCCATCCTTTACATACCAAGCTGCTTCTTTGCTCAATATATTTAAAAATAGAACAGAATCTTTCCTTTCGGTGTTGGTTGACATGGAAGCAGGTATATAGCTGGTGAGCTGAGGTGGCTGTAGATTCTGTTGACCACTAAGGTTTTATAATATGTCTGGAGCATTAAGTGGGTCTTAGAAGAGTGCTTAAGGTAATGGAGTGAAGGCTGGGGAGAAGGAATCAGGTAGAGGAAACACTGAAGGTTTGTGGTTAGTTATACTTTCCCAGGCTTCTCAGCCGGGTCTCAGAAAGTTCATGTGAGGACTTGGCTGGTTCGAACTGGTAAATTGAACATTCCTCATTCAGTACACTTGTCAGGTTACAGGCCCATTTTAAGTCATGCTGCATTAAGTAAACAGTACTTTTAAAAATGTCCATCTCCATAGACCTCTTATCTAAAAATCGACTATTTCATATTGGGTGAATGCCATGCATTTTGTAGAAGATGGTTAGGGAAAAACTCAAAGGTGGTTGGGGCGATGGCGTGGTGGTCAAGGCCTCCCTTGTGGGCTGGTTGCAAAAAATACACCTTTTTTTCATGGCTGGTGTCCCTGTATTTCATGTCGTGGCACCTGCATGAGGTACTTCTCATTTACACTTCCGGGAGACTTGGTTTGGCAACTAGTTATATATCTATAGATGCTTAGTCTACACAAAGACACCCCTTTTATTTTCCTATATAACTTTCTACTACTGGTGGAATTGTTTTCAACACTCTAAACACAATGTTTCTTTCATTTAATCCCTCATCAGTTCATTTTAAACCAGTGGTTCTCAACTGAAGGCAACTTTGCCTGCCTGGGGATATTTCGCATTGTTTGGAGGGATGTTTGAATTTTAGGACAGGAGGCAGAGAGATGCTGCTGGTATTTAGTAGGTAGAGACCAGAGATGCTGCTTAACATCCTATAATGCACAGGACAGCTCCCCACAGCAAAGAATCACTTGGCCCCAAGTGACCATAGTGCTGAGGTGAAGAAACCCTGTTTAAAAACAAAGTCGCCGCAATTTTTAGAAAACACTAAAGATGAATCCGTCAGATTTCTGAGAGAGAAAATAGAGTTAAGTTACAGGATATGAAGACTTAGAAGCCATATAAAATTATCGAGATGCCCAGGGCCCCAGGACTGATGTGTCAGGAATTCTCTTAGTGGCAGACAGCAAAAGTGACTGTATCAATAAGTCGCCATAACAGTTTTCTCTGATGTCACAAAGCCCATTCTTCTTTGTTGATGCCAAGGGTAAGGCCAAATGTGGCAATACTGTTAACACACAGCAGCAGCTTCCTCAGCATTTGCATACAGAAAGATGCCTCTACTCTTTGCCCTCTAGCGTTAAACTCAGACATCTTTTCTGTAACGGAAAAAAAAAGTGTGTTTTGAGCATAGGTGGAATTCTAAAATTGTTTCTCTCCCTGTAAAGTGGCTCCATAGGCAACAGAATAACCCTTGAATGGCTACAGCTTTGCACATTGCTTCTACCAAAGCTGCATTACCCCAAAGGCATTTCCCAGCGCCTGTGACTTTAAACCTCTCACAGCGGACTTTCACCTGTGCTCCCTTGCTCCTCCAGTTCTCAAAACCCTGCCTCATCACATTTGTGAAGGCCTTGTACTTGAGCAAGCCCAACAGTCACGGTCTCTGCCACCTCTGATCTGCCAATAACAAGCATTATCTACCTCGGATTCCCAGAATAAAATAAGGCACCGAGCAGTTCAACACTTTTCCCTGACTCGAGTATCACATTGATGACACTGCTGGAAACTGGCCACAGGATTTCTGAATTCTCATCAAAGCGGGAAGAAAGCGGGTATTTAGCGTTACACTTAGTATTGCAGAATGTTTAAGCGTTGGGAATAAATAGAAATTTCCTCCTTTGACCTCTTCCATAATTTGAATCTTAGTTTGATTTTTATGTATTGAATAACTTAAGAAGAGGAAGGAAAACAAGAATGGAATTGAATGTCCCAGTCGGGGAGACAGTGAATTCCTGAGTGGAAGGAGTGAGCTGACACGTAACTGTGCATGTTGGTTGAGTAACTGGGCACACAAACAGCGCTATCTGCTTGCACAACCTGTGTTTGGATGTGTAAATGCAGGTGACCACGTAGGATTCAGAAGCCACTTGGCAAAACAGGACACAAGGCCTATAGGTGCAGCACGCAGTTTATCTTACCCGTGCGTCAGGAAAACAGGATGCTGTCCCTGGGCCGGCTGGTAGCAAGATTTATGTTTCAGAATATTGCAACACAACTTCCTTCTCTCTGTTGCTTTGTGCATTGTTTGAAGGAGGAAAATAAAGAAGTGCTTTTAAAGCATCGCAGTGTGTAAAGATGGGCGGCATGGGTTAGGTTAAATAGCAACATTGGCTCTTCTGGGACATTGTGGGCCACCTCGTCTCTGCTTTATTTTAACCTCTGCTTTGATGCCTCCTTGATTCCACTGAATGGGCATCCTTCATTTGTTGGTCTGTTAACTTCTGATTGCAGCTACTTGGGGTTCTTTGGTACGTGGAGAGTGAGAATGTAGCTGTCTCTAGGTCATCGCTCAGAATACATACTGAAGGCTGCCTTTGCTAACGGGGAGGGAAGGCCTCTAAGCTGTGGCCAGTATTCACGTTGGGTAATTACTGAAACTTGCAGGAAGGCCTGATACTGTGAACTTTTGTAAAAGAAAAAGGGTGGCTTCCTGCTATCTGTCTGTAAGGTGTCCTGCTATATGCCACCGGGGAATGGCGGATGGAAACTTTCAAGAATATTCGATCATTATGGTGGGAATGTAGATGATTTTACATTTTTTCCTTTGACTTTCAGTTGTATTCTAATTCTTTTCTACAATGGGCATATATTATATACTTATGAAAAAGTTAAAAACAACAGATCTTGGCTATTCAGAAGACTGTGAGCATTTTGGGAGCAGGGAACCAGCTTGTCTTGTTCACTGAAGGTTTTCTAGATGTTTTCTTAGAAAGCAGGAGAAAGTGTGTGCTCAGTAAATAATTGCAACCTCATGGATAAGTTAACCATCATATATTTATTGATGGTGTGAACTGTGTTAGTTAATGTGAAAATTAAATATAAAACTCCAATAGATCTATTTCCTAAAGGACCTTAAATCTACTTTGGGAGGGTGAGATCGGAAACCATTAGCAAATAATGGAAGACTATGTATACAAATATTCATGTATATGTACATGTTCATATATATCAGTAATTGGAGAACAACGTAACACTATATACATCCATGTATACATGCACATGTATATTTATATGCATGGGATTATATATTATATATATATATATTAGCAGTTGGCAAATATGGCAAGACTGTGTGTATTCATATATACATGTATACGTGTATGTGTGTGTGTGTGTGTGTGTGTGTGTGTGTGTGTGCATGTATCCTAGCTAAGGAGGGAATCAGCAAGAATAACATCACCAAGGTTAATAAGAGAATAAGAGTGAAGTCTTTTCATAGCCGGATTATGAAGGTGAAGAGCTTGGTTTACTCAAAGTGAAAAATGTATTAATGGGAGCACAGGAGTAAGATAGGTAAGTCTGGATTTAGGGTGGGTACAAAATTATGCCACGCCCTGAGGACCCAGTTGCAAGTGTTTAGAGTCTCCACAATAGGAATTAGGGTGCCACTGAAGATTTTTAGCAGGAGAGCAACGTGACAGAGATGGTATTTAAGGGTGATCGTTCTGATCGTTTTAAGAGCTATGGACAAGCAGAAAGTAGAGGAAATCCGACAGCAGGCTCTGCTGCATTCCAAACCCCATGCGATGCAGGTGCAGGGAAGGGACAAGGTGACAGCAGAGGGGATGGCGTCCAGGGAACAAAATTTAAGCACCTCAAAGGAAAATTCCATCAGTCCTGATAAATATGAGTTAGGTTAGGGAGGGAGGTGGCAAAGCAGACTAACTCGAAAATATTCCAAAGGGAATTGGAACTTCATGGGTATCTATCTGGTTAAGTTTCTGCTCACCTTTAGGAGCTGAAGCACTTTCTTGGACTGTGAGTCATTTTACAAAGGGGCTGCCATCTCCCTGCTCCATCAGGGGCAGAACCTATTTAACCCAATCCATAAATTCACGTGGTGTCTGCTTTTTCTCACTTGTCTCCTTGGAGGAAATTCTGTAGCCTTCCACGGTAATGAATTCCTGCTTCTGCCTGTGCCTGAGGTCAGGCAGACTTTTCTATGAATGGCAAACCTCTTGGAATTTTAATAAAACAAACAGAGAAAAAAAATGTGTGTCCAAACCACCTCCCCTTAATTTAATTATCAGGAGAATAAATTCTCCTTTTTTATGTGGAGAGACCGAATTCATTTACAATAATCACTTCTTGAAGATTTCTGGAATTTCCAATTTGCAATCAATAAAGGTTTGTCATTTAAATTCAATTTACAGCCCACAACCAGATTTTTGCCACACTTGGTAATGACGCTTAGGGAGAATATAGACTTCAAGTAAGAAAATAATAGCCATTTAAGTGGGGAGATAATTGGCTGTAACATAAGAACACTGAAGAATGTTGAAACTCCTGGAGACTTATGGAGTATTTTAAAAATTTATGTTGTACTTATCTTTGCATTTGTAGTCTACCACAAAATTTCAAATTCTGGGTATAAATCAGTTAGATGTTCATCTTGGAGAGTCACAAATCAGGAAGCAACAATCTGACCCAGCCTGTGCGCTGCTTTATTTTCAACCACTACTGTAGGCTTATCCAGCTGGGAGACTGAATAGTGTTCACGTGTGTGTGTGTGTGTGTGTGTGTGTGTGTGTGTGTGTGTGTGTGTGTTTCTACACACCTCAGTTAAAGACTGTTTAGACTTCTTGTCTTGATAACATCTGCCTTATCTTGGAGACATCTGGTTTATCACCCTGTTTCTTCCTCGCCATTACGCTGACCACTGGGAAAATACAGCTCAGGAGCTCTGACCCATGGGGCTATGTCTCTTGGCATCAATCCCTACTAATAAATAGTAAGTCAAAGGATGCCAGTTAAATGACATCCTTCACCACTAACTTTCCTGATGGTTGCTTTTGTTAGTGTAAGTTGTGGTTACAAAGGATGAGGTCGGCTGCTGTTTTTCAGGGAAGTCAATCCAGTTCTTAGCCATTTGCAGTTTGGAAAGTGAGAATCCATATGTGTAATTGGGCACAGTGATTGTAGAAGGTGCTAGTTGGTGTTTTGGGGATAGAGACCAACTATTTCGATACTGTTGGCACTCCAAGAAGGAGGTGAGACATTTTATGGACATATCTTGGGCTTTTCCTACCTCCTGGACTCTTCAGTGGGTCATTGAACTAAAAATTACTCCACCTGGATATCTTTGGAGCCAGGAAAGTGGAGACCCACATTCACAAGGAGGAAAACTTGGGGAGGAATCAGGAAAAAGTGGCGCACTGCCTCTTAGATTTACTTCAAAGATATTAGTCGAGGTTAAAGTCATTAAGATTCAGGATGCTGCAGTGGACAAACTGTCTCTTTGTATAGCAACTATGTGTGCTTGCATAGTAAGCTTATACATAGTGTCTGTTTGTCCTCCTCCCCCTATCTATATGAAATGTCCTGGAAACACAGCCCAGCAGATGGCTCACCTCTGAACCAGATCAACACACAAAGCAGATAAAAAATGAACATTAAAGACCGACAGCCAAATTGTTCTTCCACTGTTCTCTACCCCAGACTTCACATTTTTAACAAGGTTTATCTGTCCCGATCATTATGTGCCTATTCTTGTAACAATGAAAACTTTTATTGTGTGTTTTATAAAATGAATTGCCTGTGACGTAAAACAATTTTGTAAGGACCAATGTTTTTCTTCTTCTTTAACCTTTCAGGTTACTTTCAAGATTGTGCGCTCTGAGGTATAGTTTGAAAGCAAAGCAGGGTACTGTGTTTTACTGTAGCCTGCCAAAGATGCTGAATTACAAGCAGCTAGAATGAGAACAGGGGAAAAGGGGAGAGAGATACACAAGGAAATACACACTCTTACTCTTGGCAAGGGCGAATTTTTACGAAGATAAATGACTTCTTGTCCATTACGCAATTTACCCCAAAATGATAATAGGAGATACTTTTGTGCCTTTTCTGTTCCAAAATGATAGAATAATTTGCATAGTTTCAGATCCTAAACACTGATGCTGTGTAGACCTGCCCATCTCCATTACTAGAGCAAGTTATTCATTCAAGGTTTGCAGCCTGATAGATTAATGAATTACCAGATCTTGCGTAAAATGACTTGGCTTGACTTTTAAACAAGTAGGCTTTTTTTTTTTTCTGGGTTTTTTTTTTTTTTTTTGGCCCGTTTTTTTTTTTGGGTTTATG